CCAGTCTTTGGGGAACTCCATTTTTGAGAATGAGTCAAATTGAACAATAAAGGTGCCCAGTACCACCCCCTCTGAACCATTTCTCCAAGCAAGAAACCTGTGGTCTGGTAATGATTAGAGTGTTTGTCAGCCAGTCTGTTTGAGCAAATACTTGAGTCTAAAGCTTTGCTCAGCTTCTGAATGAGCAGGATTAGCAAATTTTATTTTACAAACATTCAGGTAACTGAAAGTTTAGAAGACGGCACTGTTTAGGAAAACACAGTGCTACTTGACAACTGATGCTGAACAAATGGAAGCCGCATGGCTTGCAAGAGGCATCAGCAGCAAGAATCTTTGTCTCCACTCTTCATCCAGACCTTCCTGGAGGTGAACTTCCGATAGGCATACTTTGCAAGTGGTTAGCATTTTGCATTACCTTTCCTTCACATACTCACAGCAGTAGATTCAATGCATACTAGAAACTCAGGCCCACAGCCTGGCTCCTATGATTTTCCAGAACTGTCCTACCTCTGAAATAATATCTCCCAAGACCCCACCACACACACACACACACACACACACACACACACTGATCAGTACCTCTTACCTATATCACTACACTATTACCTGCCCCCTGCCATTACATTTGATTTAGTGAGTGAGTGAGTGTGTGTGTGTGTGTGTGTGTGTGTGTGTGTGTATGTGTGTGTGTTCAGAGATCAGAAGACAACTAGTGGGAGTCAGTTCTGCTCCTACCATGTGGGTTCCAGGAGAATTCAGGTTATCATGCCTTGGTGGAAGGAACTTTTTACCTGATTGAATCATCTCACAGGTCCTCTCTCTTTTAACATCTATTTTCATTTTGTTAGTTCCTAACTAAGAGGATTCCTTTCCTTACACACCCTAAGAATGCTTTTCAGTTCTTCACCCAACTTCATTCCCTTTATTTCCTACAGTCAGCCCTACAAATGTGGATTGAGCTGATGTAAAAGACCAGTATAAAAATAAAGTCTCAATTCACAAATATTTGAGATAATGTGAGTCTAAATGCTTTCAAAAATGTTTGATACTAGCATATGTGAAGGTTATAGGCTAAACAAATAGAGAAACTAACTCATGTTAAGGTCACACGGTGAAGTCCCTAACAAGGTAACAGCTATTCTTCTTTCTTTGTCAGTATTTTGTGAATTATAGACTTGTTTATGTGCATGCTAACTTCATTGTAAGAGCTTAGCGCTATCCTGCTGTGTTTTAACCACCAGCCATTACAATTTAAAATATCTTATCATAATATAAACACTCATTAATGTGTTATGAAAATCAGTGCTAAAATCAGATCTCAAAATCAATTACTTTGTCATCAAAATAGAAGGGAATGAACAAAAGTCTGCAGTTAAAGCCAGACAACTGCCCTGGTATGTTGTGCAATTACCATGGAAGCTAGCAAAGTGAGAAATATTAGAAAGAATGCTGAAAAGTATGAATGACTAAACGCTTAAGTGTTCCAAGAACACAGCTCACATTCTTTTACATTTTCTTCTTCATATTCTGTGGTGTTTTAATTAGGTGTCTGTACTGGGTAATTTTCACTATCAACTTGACACAACCTAGAATTGCCTTGAAGAGTTTTCTTTCCCACATTGAGAGTTTTATACAACATATTTTGATCATATCCACACTCTCAGCATTTCCCAGATCCACCCTTGCTTTGCTATACACCCAACCCAACTTTGTGTTGTTTTTCTTTTTTTAAACCCTTCAAGACCAATTTGTGTTACCCAAATACCCAGGAATACGGTCTTACTGAAGAATCATCTAGATCAGGTTGGTATGTGGGCATGATTGTGGAGGATTGTCTTAATTGCTAATTGAGGTGGGAGATCCACCTTAAACATGTGTAGCACTATTTATTAGACTAGACCCTGAACTGTAAAAGATTAGTAAGGGAAGCTAGCTGAGCAAAAGCAGGGGGCAGGTAGCATTTGTTTCTGTCTGCCTTTGATTGTAAAAGTATGTGGTGGTTTGAATGAGAATGGTCCTCATAGGCTCATAGCTTTGAATACTTGGTCCCCAGTTAGTGGAGCTGTTTGAGAAGGATTAGGAAGTGTGGCCTTTTTGGAGGAGGTGTGTCACTGGGAGCAGTTTTTGAGGTTTCAGAAATGCTTGCCATTCTCTCTCCTCTCTCTCTCTCTCTCTCTCTCTCTCTCTCTCTCTCTCTCTCTCTCTGTCTCTCTCACTCTGTGTGTGTGTGTGTGTGTGTGTGTGTGTGTGCGTGCCTGTCTGTCTGTCTGTCTGTCTCTGTCTCACACATGTTTATCAAGATGAAAAGCTCTCAGCTACTTTTCCAGGGCTGAGCCTTCCTGTATGCTTCCATGCTTCCAGTCATGCACTCTAACCTTCTGTAACTAAGCTGAACGAACTCTATCTGCATGCTGTCTCATCACAGCCATGGTAAAGTACCTAAGACAATGTGATATGACTAGTTCCTTCAATCTCCTGCTGCAGTAACTTCCCCACAATGATGGGCTACAGTGGGGGCTTTTGTTAGTATTTATCACACACCAAACGTGAAATTAGAACTCACAACTTTATTTAGTTTAAAGAGAGAGCCAGAGCTTGTAAAAAGATAAGGAAACAGGTCTGAAATTCATTTCGGAACCATGTATCTATTTCTTTGTGCTTTTTCTTGTACTTGTTTATTGTGGAGGGGTAATGTATCTTACCATGTATGGAGGCCAATTTTGCCAACATTTTGAGAACTTCTCCAAGTTTTCCATTTTCTCTATATTTTCATGTGGTTTTGATGAAATATAAATATGTTAATTTTTTTAACCTTCAATGAAGTTTTATTAGTACTATTCACGAACAATGTAAAGGCTGCACAGTGCTGCCTGTGATTATAATGTGTTAACATTATCTCTAATACTATATATTTATGCACTATCCAAGTTTTGCTATTATAAATAATACACTGACTAGCATGTATGGTTACATATTTTGAATTATGCTTCTTTGATGAAATTTTCCTGAATGAGAATAGGTTAAATAGTGACAATATGTAAACTGGTAAACTCCTTCCCAGAAAGATGAAACAATGTATCCCCTGCCCAACACCAAAAAACTACCCATCTCCTCCCATCTTTATTCCTCCCTCATCATATTTAAGTATATTGCCAATTTTATTAGCAAAAAATTTTAGTTTAGCTCATATTTCTTACTTTTAAATTGTATCTTTTACCTATATTTATTTAGTTAATTTTATTTCTGACCATATAAATTGCTTATACATGTTCTTTGTTCATTTCTGTAAGGTCTTTAACAATATTTTATCAATTATTGTTTCTATATGTATTAAATATATCCATCCATAAGCAATAGTATTTTTCTATTTGTATGTATTAATAGTTATTTTTAATAAGGAAAAAATAGTGGAAAGTAACATACAATAAAGTTAGTATTATTAATTGTTTTCTTCTTTAAATTGGTAAAAGCTAAATTGGTTTTGCAACTGTTTTCAAAACATGATTCTATTTGCTCTTTCAAATAATTCTTATAGTCTTAAATTCTATAAAAAGCAAAAATCCATTGAGGTTTTAGTTATACTAAGCGTATATATTTTATTTATGATCAGTTTTCCAGTCATGTCACTTTCATTCATGATTCCTGTATGAGCTCTTGGGATCTTTTGTTTTTGTTTTTAGCAAGCAAATGAACAAGCTCAACAACTCCTGAGTTCCTCAGGAGCTACAGCCAACCAGAAGCTATAAACAGACTCCAGCCATAACCAAGATGGATACTCAACATGGTTTCCTCTATTTCAAGCCATGCCCTTCAGTAATCCTTCCCCACATCTCCCTCAGCAGTAGCCTGGTTACTCAGGCCTGCAAAAGATGAAGAACCTACCACAAGATCCTTTTTGCCATTTTCTGATGACCAAATCTTTCACCTGACAGCCCCAATTCTAGAGACAGAGAAATAATCTCTTGGTGAGGGAGGAGACTTTGAAAGTAAGAAAGTCTGTGTTGTTTGATTTGTTTTTTGGGGGGAGGGGATAAATTGCCACATTTCTTTCATTGGCCTTGGAAAAACTCTTTTCAAGAAATTATTTTATGTTGTGTTGCTATATTCGCATGCTTTCCTTTTTTTTTACAGTTTACTCACTAGCGTTGTATGAAGAAAAAATTATTTAGTTTTTTGAGACAGGGTTTCTCTGTGTAACATGTCTGGCTGCTCTGGAACTCAATATGGAGACCAGGCTGGCCTCAAACTCATAGAGATCTACCTGTCTCTGCTTCACAAGTGCTGGGACTAAAGGTGTGTGTCACACCACCCAGCTGAAAAAATTTTTTATTATTCATCCTTGTTTTTTCACAGTTTAACATATCTTGATTCTTCTAATAGTAGAAAATCACACTATTTGAGACAATAATGACATTTTTAAATGTTCTTTGTCAGAAGTTAACTATTTTAGTTTTATCTCATAGCAATTTTACTGTTTAAGATGCACACAGTAAAGCCAGTAGGAAGCTACTTTTATTTAGTTTCTGTTGTATATTTTCCCTCTCCTGTCCCCATCTCCCCACTCCCTCCCTTTCTTCCCCCAACTCTTCATACTTGAGATCAACCTGAGACTTTTCACTGGCTGCTCAATGAGGGCCTTAAAAGTGAGGCTTTCTCTGTAGTCCTGTTGCCTAATGGTTAAATATAAATATATTCAAGCCATACAACTGGACGTCAAAATATCAACATTCAATTTCCAAGAGCTAAATTAAGTTCCATACTTCTATGTGCATATAAGTCAAAAATAAAAAGGTGGTTTTCATTTCATACAAGCTCCATTCAGGTAGAGACAATAAATAAGCAAGGGAGGAAATGATTAATATGTCTTAGGTACTTAGAACCTTATATATTTTCTTCCTAAAAAAATCCATTATAACTCTCAGCAATTCCTTCTCCCCACTTATGTACTACATGCAGAGGCACCTACAAGAGAAGAGTTAGAATATGATTCTTGTACTTACAGGTGGTGGGTATTCATATTGTGGAACATAATCTTGAGAGTATGTCGTTAAAGCACACCTAAGAAGGAGAAGCCAAGAAGTCAGAAAAAGAAAGACCCAGCCCCCGTACAAAAAAATCACAAAACAAACAAACAAACAAAATCACTGACATGAAACAAACACATTTGAGGAAGGATTGGCACTAATGGTATTTAAGTTCAGTCTTCCCAGGCCATCTTTACAGTATTACCCATCCCAGCAAGCATTCATCAATTACTGCCAACTCCTCACAACCTTCTGTGCTCCTGTACTAAAACCTGTAGCTACGAAGTCCCGTGTCCACATCATAGGGGCTCTCTATTCCCCAGATTCTCTGCATCACCCACCTCCTGCCTTTTGGACCCGATGTCCCACATTCTCTCCCAGAGGATGACCAAAGAAATTGTGGAAGACACCTAGGTGACTGAAACCACAGACTATCCCAAGGTCCTCTCCGCCACCTCCTAAACACACAGAAATGTTAATGAATCATATACTCTCCATCAAATGTATAAGCCTAGCCAAGCTCAAAAGGAAACCCTTGGGGTGCTGGAGATGAAAAGACACAATGCTATGCGAATCTCAAAGGCTGACACCGTAAGACTTCAGGGCAGAGTTTTCGTTATAGGTAATGAGCAAGAGAAGTGATCCTGGGTTTACTGTACTTCCACCTTAAAGAAACTAGGGAAGCACCAGTTATGAGCCCAGAAAAATTTACCAGGTCTTTCTGTTTGGAGCTTTGGGTAAGGAGGATGTTCTTCTATAGAAATGAAGCTGTAGTTGTGTTCCCAGCAATGTGATAGGAATGGTTGGTCAAAGAAAATAAGTATCTAGTTTCTTTGGAAAGCAAGAGCATTCAACAAGAATCTCAAAATAACAAAATCCAATTCAGGTGGGCGAATGAGTAAAAGTGGTAGAATTAGCTAGTGGTAACCACCGATTGTGCCAGCACTCTCAGTGTTGCTTCCTGAGCAGCAGCGGCACCTGGGAGCCTGAGACTTATGAGGATACAGTCTTCCCTGAGCTTGTAGGAAGAACCCAGTGAATACCAAAATCTAGGGATGCTTAAACCCTTCTGTCAATCTGTATTTGTGGATAGCACATGTACATCTTCATACACATTGTAAGTTATCTCTGGATTGTTTATACTACTTAACATAATGTAAAAGCTAAGTACATAGCTTGGACACTAATGATTTTAAGTCTATACATGTTCAGCAAAGCATTGTTTTTTCTTTCAGTTATTTTCAGTCCATGATTGGTTGAATCTGCAGATGTGAAATCCATGAATATGATAATAGTTAGGTCCTACCCTGAGTCTACTGAATTAAAACCTCTATGAACAGGACCCAGAATTCTGTAGTTTAACAATCCCTCTAGATAATTCTTATATACACTTGAGTTTGAGTTCTGATGAGTAAAAGAACAAAAATAGAAGTTCACATGAGAGGGGCGAAGCCTCAAAAGGGAGAAATGGATAGAAGAACATATGTGATATGAAAATTTAAGCGTGTGGGTGACATGCTAGGCATAAAGGTTTAAGCAAATATAGGGATGAAGGGATGAAGAGGAGGATACTGCAGGGATGGCTTAAGTAAAGCTAAGACTGTATGGAGAAGCCTTATGAAAGCCTACTGCTTTGTAAACTAATTAGAAATACAACTAAAAAAGAAGATTGATTGTCCACTACACCTAGATGGTAAGATCATACTGCTAAAGACATAATGCACTTTGGTTGAAGACCATAGAGGAAATCAAGAAATAACTGATCTGGATATCCTCCCTGTTGGATAGCTTTCATAACCCTGGAAAATGCTATATGTGTCACTCAGGGAGAAAAGCCATCAGTGAACTTACTAGTAGTATACTCTGCATCCTAAAATACCAGCCTTCCTACTGGAGCAATAATGGCATGACTGTTACAGGAATAAGCAATAACTTTCAAGTCCAAAGGAGGGACTTCAATGCTGGTACTATAAACTTGATTTATATAAATATATGGCCCTAGGTGGTAACCTACTATTGTTTTGCTAAATAAGCATACTGTTGAACTGCCCCTTCCTTTTGTAGTGGGTAGCAGAAAATGCAGATTCTCATAACTGGTCAGAAATTCTGAGAATAAGACACTAAACTGGCTACATATCAGCACTCCTCCCCAAGGCTCAGAGTCTATCAGAGAAGAGGGATATGAATAATTTAAGATCTTGAAGATGAGGATTTCTGTTAATTGCTATCTTCTGGACATGAGTCATAACAGCCATGGTTACTAGCATGAGCCCTGCACAAGAACAAGTCAGTCAACATTGCAAAATAAGTGGTAGAAGAGCTGCTGGCTCTGGGGCTGTGAAGAGGAAAGTCGGCATTATTCTTTGTGGTTGTGTTTGATAGCCCCACACTGTTGAGTATGCAGGCAGCACAAACTGAACTCAGTGGTCAGTGGGTTGCTATAGAAACAGGAGGATGAGGAGAAAGAAGGAGGAGAAGTAGGAAACAAAATGAAGGTGGAAGGGAGACTTATGGTGGGCGATCCAGGGCTAGTGAGGAGGTTGGATGTGATTAAGATAAATTATATACATGCATGAAATTGTCAAAGGATAAATAAAAATTATAAAATGAATTGGATGTTCAACTTTTTAACTTTCAAGTCACTAAATGAAATTTGAAAGACCAACTTGGAAGGAAGAAAGGAAGGGAGGGAGGGAGGGAAGAAGGAAGGAAGAAAGTAAGAAAGAGAATTATAGAAGTAGAAAGTGAATATCACACAGCTTCTTAAAATTCCATCTATATGCTTTAATACTTAACATAAAATTATTTTCAAAAAAATTTTGAAAGTGAAAATATGCAAAAACACATACACACATTAGCCAAGAGCTATTTTCTTCTGGTAATAGCATATGCAAAAGACAAAATTTTTAAATCCAATACTTGTAGGGATCATTACTCATAATTAAAAAAGCAACTCACCAATAATATGCATAAGAATCTAAATATATAAGATATATAATGCAGAGAAAGGCAGAATTCCCAAAGATAAATTATTAATCTACAGTCACAGAGGAAAACTGTAAAACATCATTCCATCATTGGTTTCTTAATCCTAAATTGACCTGTATCCTCCAAAACCTCAAACAAAGACAAGTCAGCAACAAAGAGAATTAAGTTACACATTTGTCCCTAAGGAGAACATAGTGGAGCATGGCAAATACTACTTGAAATAAATTCATAGGCACCAGACCCAACAGATCAAATCAATATGGAACTGTTCATGCTAAACTCCATGCCATCCAGTCCCAGATAAATTGCTTATGTGCTATTTCAAGGAGATGGGGTACCCAGCCTATGTTACCTTTACAAGGAAAAATAACTGAAGCAGCTGATTCCTTTGTTTCTGCTTTCTTCAGCACTTCCTGTCAAAGCAACCCGTTCACTCAGCTCATCAGAACACTATTTTATTTCATAGGATGAGGTATTTTCTGATTCTAGAATTGTAAGCAAAAGCCAGATGGAACCTTTACATGTGTAATAATAACTGATTTTGACTCTATACGTTTCAAACTGTGTTCGGATAGGTTTTAACAATCCTGTCAACAGAGCTAGATGAAAGCCCACACTGGACCAGAGTGTGGACAGAGATCACAGGAGAACAGAAGGTAACAACTGCCTGTGGTTACCCAGAGCACCATGGACATCACCTCCGGAAACAGCATCCTACCCTGATGGGGGAGATACTGAGATTAGAGGATTTGAACCAGTTTTCAAGCAGAAAGGACCAGAATGACAGTTCTGAGAAGGCACTGTTTCTGAAACAGAGAGAGGCAACTAAGAGAGTCAAAAGAGTTGAGAAATTACACACCAGAAATTCAGGATCCTGGAACTGTAAGAGCATCACAGGATGAGCAGGCCTCCCACTTCTCACCCCACCCCCAATGGCAATTACACGTTGCTTCAGGGGTCTAACAGAAGATGGCACTCTAGAACTAAGATAATGAGCAAGCATCCCACACTTCTCATTTCCCTCAGTAGAACCTGTGATTGCCACTAGTCCAGGAAAATCTAACATAATTAAAAGAAGCAGAAATAGGTAACATTAGTACAAGGAAGGCAGTGGGAATCAAAATTAAACTCATGAATATCCTTTCCTCTGGAAATGCTCCCAACCGCTGAGTCCTCCATCAGCCTTTCTATTTAAAGACACACTGCAGAGCCTAGGAAATGAAACAGAAAACGAGTGCCCTACAATAGCTGAGTGGGAATGCAAAATTTTACTCCTCAAGGTTGAAAAGATTAAAAATTCCAAGAGAATCCACAAAGTGTACCAAGCAAGTCCCCAGATAATTGTCAGATACAAGATTATATGAAGTAGTTTACCCTTATACTAGCAAACAGAGTGGTAACATATAAGTGGAAGTTCTCACAATTGTAGCACATTCTCTAAATTTCCTAGAACACAGATAACCAAAGCTATATAATACATATACAAAGGGAAACACACATTTTGTTGGCTATAGAATAATTCCATACTTATGAATGAGATGAATCATTGATGATGGTCATTATTCCATCTAACTAATTAAATGTTATGAATCAAAACACAAGATATTTCATGGAACTTGGCAAAAAAATATCTAATAGACATAGAATTTCATAAAATGCTAAATGGAAATATGAGAATTTGGAAAAGAAAAATGAACTGGTGAAACTCGCTCCTTTAAGGTACAAAGGAGTAGTGTGAAGTTATACTAATTAAGACAGTGTTGTTGCTTCAGGAGTATACAAAGAAGTCATCAGGATAGACTCCAAAGCTCAGAAATCAAGCTGCTTAAGGCTGTGCAGCAATGATAGAAAAGACTTAATGACAAAGCACTGAACAAAAGAATGCTATAACAACCAGCTAGTCTTAAGTTACATGTAGTGCATGGGTAGTATATATGAGATACGTAGCTTCTAAGATGTACTGTAGAGCCTAGAAAATGAAACAAAAATATGAGTGTCCTACAATAATTGAGTGGGAATGCAAAATTTTATTTCCCAAAGTTGAAA